AAAATACTCCCGCATTTTTAGGATACCCTGTTTCCGTTGCACCACTTCCATATTCCTGATGGTTAAAACAGTGTATACATAGGCTTTGAAGGAGAAAAGAAAAATAATCGACTTTTTTGGAGCAAAAGGTGTTTTAACAATTTATCAAAAGTCAATGTTAGGCGGGAGAAACTTTATACATAGTTACTCTTACAGGTGCCCCTCGGGTGGGTCATGGGCAGCGTGTTAGCTTCCGTCGTGCGATTGTGTGGTTCGATTTCCTTTGGGGGTAAAAATAAATCTTTCCATTACAATCGTCTGTTCTATAGCTCTGTGACTAAAGAGAAGCTACGGCAAGTCAAATATGCTAGGTAAGGCGAAGGGAACACTCTATGCTCGCCAACGTTTTTCTTACCCATTTTCTCTTTTAAATGTATGTTCTTGTTCAAAATTTGGATTCTATTTTGCATTTTATTTTGGATATACCTGCTCATTGATTGCTCATGCATTCACGGCCGGAGTTTGTATTTTCTAGGTTATTTGGGACGAACCGCATCTCTGTCGTGGTGGCTGACTGTTAGGTCAACGTGTTGTGACGATCCTCAGAGCTGTTTGTGTTCCGCTATCAGTTCCCGGATAGCCTAGAAAATACAGCCACGCTCGTTTTTTCTCATCCTTACCTGCACGATGAGATGTGACATACTACCTTGTTCTGGGAAAATTTATTGGAATTAATTAAAGCAGATTCATAAAAAATGAAGGAACGTAAATCAGTATTTTATTCAATGTTTATGCACCAAGAGCGTCATTAGGGTTCTAATCCATTTTTTCACCCGAGATTATTAGAACTATATAACGCACTTGGTACATACACAATTTTATTCTTTTACCTAATTTAATTGATTTAGATTTACCTATTTACTAATTAGCTAGTAGATGTTAACTTCACACGGTTTCTCTCTTCATATTTTCCTCCCATAATTCCCTTTCATAATTCTCTCCGTAAGAGAGCATGTAGGATCATTCAACTGTTTTCGTATTTCCTTCGTAATCACAATACTTTCGATCTAGGTAAGTTACGCAGCTCTGTATCGAAGGCAATAACAAGCTGTAGCGCATCAATAAAAAATTACATTAAATTAGTAGAAAATTCGTTGAAATAAGATAAAATTTCTTGCTGTGTGAACGTACTCTTTTCTCCATTCACCGAAGCCATTACTTTTATTTTTATTGAAGATTTTTATGGGTTTTAAATTACAGGGTCATTACTGATGAAGCTTTTCCCAAAAGTTGTTAACTTTTCATGCACTTTACATTGAGCGACTACAGAAAATCCATTTTTTACACGTTGAAAATACCGTGAAAAAATTAAACTATTGTTACTCTTGGTGACATGTTGAATCTCTTTTCTAAAAGTATTTTTTGCGTAAAAGTATTGCGAAATTGATTTAGAAATGCAGATGGTTTTACGTAAAACACGTAAAACACAGAATTTACGATGTGCAAATAGGCACAAATAATAGGAAATGTTTAGCAAGAGAAGATAACTAAGTCCTCCACATTAACCGATTTAATTTTAATAAGATTATCTCTCTCCAATCATGGTTATAAGAGCAAGACGATAGGAAGAACGCGGTTGATAATTATAATTTAGAATATTTTGTTAAATTGTTATTTACTGAATGTGTAGTGATCACTTTAGATCAGTTTAGAAAAGTATAATTCAAGAGTAAATGAGGATATTCTAGTTTGCTTTGATCACTGTATGTTTCATTTATTGTTCCGAGATTTTAATTTTTTTTCAATTTTTTCTATCTGTGCTTCTAAACAATAAATGCCGCTTCTCTACCCATCATAGTTACATACAGTTTTTAACTTGAAGGTCGTACATTCGAACATTAATACTAGAAATTAAAACATATCCAATCTACTACTGCCAATGTCACTGCCACTTTGAGACTTTTCTACACACTTCAAAATGCAGGTATCGTAGGGCTGTCTGTAAAAAGTTCATTCGACATTCTTCTATGTGGATGTATATCTTTGTATGTGACATGTGGAAATATTTTAATATAGAATATCAATTCAATTTTGCAACATTATTTCTAATATTTAAGCGGGTTTTCAATATCATAGGAGTGTCGCCACGAGTAGTTGCCATTTTCAAACAAAACAACAAAAGAAAGGCACGTATGTCTGCTACTTGTTAGCGGCCGCGCCAAGTAACCCGTTCGGGCATATAACTTGGAATATTTGGAGGATTGAGTCGCATTCACATATTAACGCCCCGAGTTGCCGGAGCGCTTGCAGCCCTGTTCGACCGGCGACGCTCTGTTGGCCGGCAGCTTTTTCGGTCGCCGGCTGGAGGCCGATGGGACAAATGGAAACGTGTACCTGCCAGATAAAACAGAAAAGTTGCGGGCGCTTTGGAGCAGACCGGTCCGCGGGGAGGATTAAGCAAACGGTTTCCAATATCGCGCGCTCTGGCGCCGAAACTTTTGGGCCAGGGCTAGTGCAACATGCAGCCCTCAGGGCCTTCGAGCGAGCGACTGTTGGCTGTAATAAGCTCCCACATCGCACTACGCTGTGCTTCTCAAAATGCGACGTCAAAAAACCTTTCTGATTAATGGAAACAAATGCGCACACCTCCATAACAATACTGCAATGTTGGAAATATTTTTAATGGTGAAGCACGTTGTGGGAGCATGTTCGAGGCTTTATGCAAATTAATTTTAACGAACAAATCGTATGTGTTGAACCACCAAGATGCGAAAGATAAGGCTACGTAAAAATGTTTCCAAAATAACCGTTGTTATTCTCCATCAGTAGGTTAAATAAAAATATTTTTCATATTCCAAAATTTAATACATTTTGATAGCAGAAACTAATAATAATTAAATAAATAAATATTATTTGTGTACCTTTTAAAAGAGAAGAATTTTATTTATTATAAACTTTTACTATTATATTTACTTTATAATATACTTTACTTTACTTATATTTACTTTATAATTTTATTTAATATTAACTTTTACTGTTTACTTTATTATAAACTTATTTATTTATTATTAACTTTCATATAGTTTAAAACAATATTTTTACAATTTTGAAAACAGTGCATTAAAATAAATCAAATGAACATTGTTTTGGTATTAAAAAAAGATTATATTCACTTTACTTTTTTCGCGTATTTTCCTACTACAAAATTGAAACAACTATTAATTAAAAGTAATAATAAGTCAGATTATATTTATTTTCTTGTTTGTACTAAACCTATTGACTTCACAATCCATACAGTATGTATAATTTAGAAACATATTTTAATAATTATATAGACATTAATAGATGATATCGCTAGTCACCCTCTAACTGTAGCGGATTTTCGACTATTTAGATAACCAAATCGAATTCAGCTGCCATTTGAAGGAGAATTGTAGCGGGCGTCTGCTTTGATCAGTAGCTTTCCGAAGTTTCTCTGGTCAATAACAGGCGAAGGCCGGAGCATCACACATACAAACGGGCCATGGACTGCGCGGGATCTTTCCTATCCCTTCAATGTCCTATTTCCCTTTGCCTGCACGCACACACAGTTACAAGCATTATACTACCCCACTTATCGGAACACCAATAGAAATCTTAGAGATAGCCTCCGCTGGGACGATGCCTCGATGGAGGAGATATTTGGAGAGAAAAATTCTCCGCTAGCTGACCTGTTGCTTAACGAAAAATATGACTTACTTCTGTAACTAACTTAATTAATATCGATAGATAAAAACTGACAGTTACATTCTAAATAAATAAATTAAATTACAGAGGGTAACTTCATTAGCACCTCTCTTTTCAAACTCTCCAACTAATAAGACCTAATCATCTTTCAACCGCGACGAAACTCGCAAAGTCGGAGCGCTTTTGGATCGATAGTGTGCGGATTCCCTCCGCAAGGAAATAAAGCTGTGCTCGTAAATTTAAAGCACCTGAAGAACGGGTCGAAGATTACTTCGCTGACAGCAAATTTATCGGCCGTATCTTTTTTTCGAGTCATTGGGCATCACAGCAATTCTGAAGGCCGTTTGAGAGTTTAAATTCAGTCTCGATTTAAAAGACGTTCTCATTGCCACTTCTTTCGTTGATACACAGTTGCCAATGTAATGAGAAAAGGAAAATGTACGTGTACGAAAATGTTGGGTTTTCAACAAGAAAATTTAATTTGTAAATTTTCATTAACAAAACAAATGCAAAGAGGATCAATAATCGTATACTAACAACGTTTGAAAATACATATACATTGTTACGCATGTTTAAAAGTTTTATAACGCTTATGGCTATAAAATGCAAACTCACAAGGAGTGGGTAGAAATACTTATATTATTTTCGATTGCATTGAAACTTTAAATTAAAGTATGCGCAATGTCTCAGAACAACATCCATTTCTCTTATCGTTTTAACTATATTTCATATCATTCTTGTACCTCTCACAGCTGACAGAAGTCTGAGGATGAGGCCAATGAACAACCTTCGGCTTTTGGATTGAACGGTTGCGCTCACTCAAATTTCAATAGCAACTGAAGGTGCACCGCTCAGGCACAACTGTATTCGGCAAAACAATGATTGCAGTGAGAAAATTAAGAATACGTTTCAAAGAATCAGTCGTTATTGTTAATATAGTACTAGACTCGGTAAAACCCTCGCATTCTAACAGTTGTGCGCCAGTTCTTGCATTGCTTGTAACGAATCTCTTTCTGTATCTGTAAAAATAAACTCCTGTTTTCCTTCTAGATCTCGACGTTGCTCACGTTCATTATCCTGGCTCTTACGCTGGTAAAAAGCAAAGCTTGAAAGGTTGGAACGTTATGCAATTGATAAACTAACTACATGCTCGTAATGTCACGGCATTTAAATGAAACTTCATTACAAACCTAAAATGTGTTAAAAAAAGTTCTGTCGTTCAACACACCCCAACACAAAAATATTCACTTGAAAACTCGTACGGGAAATCCTCCAAAAAAATCTGTTTAGTTTTGATGACTACAATACGAACGCCGTTGATGTTCACAAGTTTCACTTCTTTGTCGAGACAAAAGTTTTCAAAGAGTTCGCTCGGAAGATGGTCTCCCGACGCCCTCATTGCCGGTGGCGCTGAGCACACAACGGCATCGCGGAAGTCCCGTCTGCCGCTCGACAAATCCGGAGTCGACGGCCAACTAAACTTCGTCAAAGCGCGTTCTAGCGCCGCCAGGGACAGCGGAGAACAGTCAGCAAACACGGGCTTCTTAAACTTTCCGCCTGGGACTGTTTTTTACCCTGTACAGCAATTCGAGGAAACCAGCGTCATTGTGACTTTACCTTACACAATCAGTCAATAACTTCAATTGCATTGCAATGAAGACCCTGTTTCGAGAAAATATTTTATCAGTGTTTCAACTAATAATTCACTTCCATTTTCTCGGTTGCTTACAAAAAAGATCAATAAATAGTTTAGCCTACAAAAAAATGTCAAACTACTCTCATTAAATCACCATTAATTTTATGGCCGGCAAATCAATTTTATTACAACTATGAAAAAAAATTAAACATAAAAATCATTTAGACTTACGTGTGACGTGGGAGTTTCATCTCAAAACAACAGTTGTTTGATGAGTTCTTGTAGCGTTGGAACATTTCCTAGTCGCTGCTTCACAACACCGTCCACCGTTTTGCTAGGATATAAACTCGAGGTTATCACACTCATCATTTACATAAATTAAAATATTTTTTTAAAATGTACATTAAAATTTTATAAAAGCTGGCTAATTATATAAGTTTTTCTAGTTCAATATCAGCAAAGCATGGAACTGCTACTTTCGCAGATGTTGAAAACGACCCTTCCGCGGAATGTTCAGTGGTCAGCACGACTACATTCCTATCCCCGAACTGACATCAGAGCGGAGAAATATCTTTCGTGCTTCGTAGTAGAAATTGGCAGCAAAACATCTTAAACAGAAAGATATTTTCATTCAGGATATTATTAAATTATTTCATGTTCTGATACTTTTAGGATATTATGGCAGGTTTATAAATTCACATTTATTAAAATAAAAATGGGATTGAGGCTGGTAAAATAAATTATTTACAACGATTTAATTTCAGTTTACGTGGAACTCCAGCGTAACTAACAATAATTTAAATCTCGTGCGTAATTGAAAAGCATTCGACAGTGATGCGAAAAACAACAAACGTTATAACTGTCATTTCAATTAAATCTTATTAAAATCAGATAATTGGACTGAAAATTCTTTTCAATTTTACATGCAATATACATAACAAAATTCGGTTTCCTCTGTTACTGCATTTCCTAATGCACTGTAATGAATTAAGCAAAGTAAAACAAGTAATACAACTTCCATGCTTTTCAGAATTGCGTCTGGTACAAATTGACAATATTGTTTTCAATGAACGTGTTCATGTAGAAAAAATGCGATTCTTTTCTTAGTTTCATGGTTTTATTAAAACTAAGACAATCTGCGATTAACAGTTCGTCGGTGAATAAAAAAGTGCTTCTTCTTAATCTAGTAGTGATACCACAGTTTATACTTTCTCGCGTTTTTATTAACTTTTGCAAATTTTAAAAAATTCAGGGTGTTAATCAAAAATTGAACCTGTGGCATTTTTATAAGCGTCCTAACTACATTCGAGAAAAAAACTTAAAAAAATATGGAGCTGTTTTTTTTAAAATTTAATTGCCTTTTCTTACGCAAAAACTACTCATATTTTCAAAACGTTATACGAGTACATGTTCCTATTTAAATATATAAGTTTTTGGAACAGATTTTATTAAAGAAAAAAATCTCTATCGTTATGTTTTGCATTCTGTACTTTACAACGTCGCAGTGCTTGTTGTTATCAAGGGTCTGATGCTCTAAAATTTGATCCATTAATACGGAGATATATTTTTAAAAAATTGAAAATAATTGAATTTGAAATGACCATTTAATTTTGGGGGCACTTTGCAAGAAGTCGCAAGGAGGTTTTTGTCGAAACTGGCTCCACTTTTTTCTTTAATATTTTTCCCAATAAAGCAAAGATTTTTTAGAGCATCCGATTTGTTATTGAACTCTTAATTTTTCGAAAATTGAAAAATGTAAACATTTTTCGGCTTCTTACATCTAGAGAGAATTTTCCTAATGATATCTGATCTCCAAAATTAAATCTTAAATGAAGTTCTGAACAATTTTTGTTCGGAATGTGAATAGTTTTACCGTAATTTTAAAGGCAATATTTTGTCACAAAAACCTTTTCTTTTTTTCTCGGATAATGCAAAGTGAGTTTATAAAACTGATGCTAGTTCTCTCTTCGTGTCACTCTCTGGATTTTCGGAAATGCAATATAGTAACAAATAATGCAACAAAGTAAGTGTTGCTGTGAAAGCCTGTTTGCGCCCTTGTGATCTGCTCTATTGTAGCGAGCGGCGCGCGCGTGTGCGTGTGCGTGTGCGTGTGCGCAGGGTCGGCGGGCGGCGCGCGCTGCCGCGACGCGGGCTGCGACGTGGAGCTGCTGCACGGGCGGTGGCTGCGCGCCGGCTGCGCGCCCGTCTTCTACGGCGACGAGCTCTGCTGCCCCGTCGGATGGCGCTGCCGTGAGCACCGCCCCGCCCCCTCACACTCCCCTCCGCTCCGCTCACACCACACCGCCGCCGCACTCTTCAAACCGCCCGGAAATTATACTTCACCGAGCACTTGACGTAAATCAGCTGTTCACGGTTTCACCCAGTCGGGGGCTTGAACGCCCCCGAGGTGACGTCACTGTGGCGACATATAAACTCCAGATTGGAAGAAACCGTCAACAACTGATGTACGTCAAGTGCCCGGCTAAATAAATCGTACTGTAGAAGCGCATCGGTCGCCGGCGGCGCATGTGTTGCAGCACTGTACCAGCGGTCGCGGGTCCTGGCAGCCGTCTCATTGTCAACCGCGCTCGCAACCGATACGATCCGCGATAAGAGCGGCGCGGCAGTCATTCGGCCCAACGCAAGAGATCCTAGATGCGCTCATAATGCAACGACATGGGTGACTGGTCCGGTGAACCGATTTTTGATCGTTCTGCGCTGCACCTGTTTACGTCACGAACTACATGACCACAACAAGGGCATTTCGTTTGAAATGCCAGCCCAGACGCTGGCTGCCATGTTGTCTGGAGAGCAAGCCGTGATGAGAAACATTTTGAAAGTGGCATAAAGTGTCAATTTTCAGAGAAAAATAACATGATGAAGATGTAATTGAAATAAAATATGCAATATTTTGAAAAAATGCTACATATACTTTTTTCAATGACTCGTAACTAGGTGATAATTTTGGTACCTGGCTGCATTTAAAATTTCCGCTCATATTGTGACGCAAAGTAATGCATTAAGCTCATTTGCTGAAGTCGGATACGATGCACAATAGCTCACCCATGTATTTCCATCATAGTAGTCCCTGACTGCGGTGCAGTGCTGCATAAAGAACCCATTCTTTACGCTATTTCTTAAACGAAAATAGTGTTTCCTATATTACGCTGAAGCGAGTTACTCGTCGTTAGACGAGCTTATTTGCTTGTAGTTAGCTCACTTGCAATGGTTTTGAGCCTCATAATTCACTACAGTGTAAAAAAAGATGCCCACGGAGAGGCAGTCATTTAAGGAAATAACTACAAAAGATCATTGAACGAACACTTACTACTCAAAACAGAGTTCAACTTTATTTTTAGCTAGTTGAATGTGGCGTCGCAGACGCTTTAAACTGTTTTAAAAGTATTTTCATGCGTTCAAAATTTCTTTCATGCCATGCTTTGTTCAAATATATTCTTACAGTATCTGGTATTGGACTTACCAATGAATCGTAGTAGCTGTTAATTTTATACCCCCGTTCAAAAATTCTCAACAGTCAATGGTCTTGTATTTTACCTCCAAACAGGATACGAACTGGTAATATTGCAATTACAAAATTATAACAGTTGTAAGAGATACTTGGAAGTATGAATATTGCGAATAATTAGAATTTAGTACAGATTTTTTTTACGTCTTGTGAACATGAACATAAATTATGACCTGTAAACTGTTATTTTGCGTTATTCTCTAATGGCAATATAGGATCATAAGAATTAGTTTAGGCAATTCTGTTTTAGTTAACAAAGAACAGCAAGAATAAATGGGGAATTAAATTGTATGTTACAGTTACTGAGGTGTTTATTTAATTTTTCGTTTAGTTAACTAAATATACTCATTAATTCTTTGAAAAATTGTTGATTATCTCTATGTTAATAGCACGTGTGCAATTAAAATTCATCCGTGCAATTAAAACTCCACACCTACCAATCAGAATTCAAAAAATGATGCAAATCGTTTAATTAAGAAACTGACAGTCATAGCCAAGGTATTTCTAGTCGGTCATGAAACTTGAACAAAAATGTGTATGACAAATTACGTACCTACAACAACTACATACAAACAAAGAATGCATAAAACTAAATTAGCGAAGTAAACTTCAACTGAACTGAAAGTTAGTAGAGTAAATGAATAACAAAATATTGAACGTGAATAAATTAAATGTTTTACATGAAAAATATTTAGTCTTAGGATTACATAAGTAAATAAGTTGGTTTTTTTCTGTTGAAATATTGAACTAGCATGTGGATAGACGGGTATAATTGCACTCGTGGTGTATTATAAAACTAGCTCCTATTGTCGCTCGTTTCCTTGAACATGCGACTCATGCACATATACCCCTCTTTATCCACTCGTTTCGTTAATTACTATAGTTTTGCTGGTATTTTAAATTTTTGGAGATTTCATCGTATATTTTAATATTTTTTGCAGCTGTAGATAGTGATAGAGTAATCGGTCTTCAACGGAAGCGACGAAGAGAAGTCCGGTGAATCCATCAAGTTACAGCGACCCTGTGGTGACAACAGAAACTTCTGCCCCAGGTTATCAGCATTTTTATATTATTTGTACGAATACATTTATAGCAATTCGTTGTTTTATACAGGGTAAATTGACAATGAGTAATTAATAGACAAAAATGTCGAAAAGCAAGCTATTTGAACAAAGTTACTTCTTATAATATTTTCTTGTAAAAACCTTAAACAAATATACTAACGCAGCTTGATTTTCAACAAAAAGCATAGTATTGTATGTCAGTAGAAAATTATATCTTTGCATTGGAAACAATAATAACTTTAAATAAATATTTTAATTGATAGTATACAAATGAGGCGAACAGAATTTATTATAATTTTTGTTCGAAAAGTTTGCAGGATTGAAATGATCGCCACATACCGAGAATGCTTATCAATTTAATTTTTCACGAGTTTAACAAAGCCTTTTGTGCAGAAATATCTCACCCAGTTTTCCAATTTCTGGACTTCTGGTCGTTGAACTCCTAAGGACGTTTACCGCGATCACACTAGAGAACGATATGATATATTGCTGAACCTTAAATAAAAATCAATCTTCGTTCATCGGCATCAATATATTAATTCTATTCGTCAACGTCCATTTCCCCTGACACCGTCAATAATAGCACGCGTTGGGAACATTGCGCATCAGTTTTGACAGGTGAAGAAGGGATATGCGCTGCAAACCAATGCGGTTTCTATCGAAAAATCGTTTGGTGGCTGGCGTATAATAGAAATATTGTTTTAAATACATTGATGAAATGAATTCCAGTACAGGAATGCTTTCATAAAAGAAAACAAAAAGTTATTAACAAAAATATCCATATTAATTAAATTATTCTTTAATACATAAATAAGCGTTAGAAAGTAAAAATAATGGGGTTTTTGATCATAATAATAATAATAATAATATAATAATAATAATAATAATAATAATAATAATCGAATGGGAAATAATGAGAAAAACCGTACGCTTTTATGAAACATAAATTAATATTAAATCAGTGCAAGATATAGATTCATAACAATAATACATTGATCATCATCACTACGTATGTAATACACATACTTAAGTCAGTCTTTCTTTTTATGTAATCACTCAAATGCATATGTCTATATACATCTACGAATCTTACCCGTCAATTGCAGTTTCATATTCGGCTGTATCGATTGAGTGGCAAATAAATGAATGAATGTAGTTTTCTGGGTGAAATAATTTTAATTACTTCGTAGAAATATTAAATATCCAGTTCAATGATGTAACTTGATATTACCTGTCAAACTAAATAAAGAATATTGATGCAATGGAAATTCATTTAAAGTGGGAGGATACAAACCAGTCATTGCTTTTGATCACTTTATTTGAAAGTCATTCGCATGCTGCTCGAACGTTTGGCAATTTTGGAGTGAATTAATTAATTTGTTGGACATCGGTTATGAAAGAAAAACGGATATTTCTAACATTAGGATTATTTTTCTTTGGAATTATTTAACGTAGTTACTATTGGTGCGTGATTAGGATTATGAAATACTTCTTTTTACGCGTAATATCTATCATAGTAATAAAAGTGAATTCAACGACATGTAACCGACGCGATAAACAAAATTACTATTTAAAGTAAAATAAAATGATTGTACTCTAAAATAAAATGAAAATAAGTTATAGTGTTTTATTAAAATTTAAACCAACTAATTGAAAAATAATCGTAAACATAGTGGACTGTATAAAACTGATCTTTTTTCTCTTTCACAAGAAGAAAGGCCAGGCAACGTCGGGTACTTTGCTAATATTACATATCAAGTATCCTTTTTGTACGTAATATATTTTCACTCAACGCAATAAATTTGCATCCTCATCTATCGGAAGGCTTATTTAAAATAAAGTATTGGGTGTGATGTAATTAAACACATTAGTTTATTCTTTATTATATATATATATATATATATGTGTGTGTGTGTGTGTGTGTGTGTGTGTGTGTGTGTATTCTAATTCGCAAAATGTGACGGGCGGCTCAAGGTGATCTTCCCACTTTTCACCCCCACCTCCACCCCTCCCTTCTCCTCCTCCGAGAAGGACCGAGCAGCTAGAGTCCGAGCGCCGTGAGTGTGCTGTGTTGCAGGCGAGGTGACGGAGGCGGAGGCGGGGGCGTGCGTGTTCGGGCGCCTGCGCGTGCCAGTGGGCGCGCGCCTCTCGCCCGGAGACAACCCCTGCGTGCGCTGCTGGTGCTCCACGCCCCCGCTGCCCACGTGCCAGCAGGCGCCGCACGGCAGCTGCGGCCACCACCGCACCACCACCACCGCAACCACCACCACCCCCACCACTACCACCACCAGCGCCCCCACCACCAACGCCTCCACCATCACCCCAGCCCCCGCCGCCGCGTAAGCGAGGGCGGGTGAACCGTTAGCCCCTCGTCCCCTCCGCCGGGAAGGCGCCGGACGGCGGACTGGAAACGAAGTCAGCTGGCGCGCGGCGACTGCACCGCTCCACAGCGCCTTCGCTGGCAAACCCCCAAGGCCTACAGGGGAAGGACTGAAATGCAAAATCAGCCGCCACTGCAATACTCTTCACTCCCACCCCTCGAATCCCGTTCTCCCAACCCTTGGCCCCGAAGAACATAACGGGCCGTAAAACAACACATTTGCCACCCGACCCCGAAACCTGTTTTGCCACGCCACAACTATCTACTAAGACATCTCAAGATGGCACCGATGAAGGAAAATGCAGAGGATTCACATACAGCACCTTTCCATCTGCGCCTCCATCTTCCTAACCAAATGGTTTGTATGCTCGGCTATTGGGAGTGCACGAAGACTGTGTTGCCGCCTCATCACCCGTGAAAATATGTATAAAGCGCAGTAAGAACACTCGTTCGAATCACATAATTTCAAATATTGAATTCAACATCAAATAATTTCCAATAGATAATGAGACAACATTTGATCATTTATGATCATATTAATATGAATAGAAGATACTGAATTCATGTGAATTGTTGGTTTCCCTGAATCGCGTAAAATCGGGTTATTTTTCTTCTTCTAAGTGCTCAAGCAGGTGAACAGGCACACATACAATATCTGATTAACAATTCCCTATAAATGTGAAATCCTTTACTATTTATTATAAAGCATCAAAATTGATAAGCTTCAAGCACACATCAGTTTGTATTGTTTTTGTTTAATGGGGGTTGGAAACTCCCCAAGACCCTTCGATGTAAGCTGCTTTGTTGGAAATTTCCCAATTTGGCGCCACATGGCAGTTTAACGCTACCAACTGTCTTTTTGTATCCTATGTTCGCCATCACGGACCGTCACATCAACACTTTCAATATCTATCCATTACACAATTTACCGATGAACAAATATGGACGGGAATTTCGGAGGATTTAATTTTCTATGTAAAACCCATCAACTTACTGTGAAAAAAGGTCCTTGATTTGCCTACCCTTAAATAGTTTAGGAAATGTTTGTAACATAGAAAATTAATTTATTATCTACTTTCACCAACTTATTGGGAATTTGGACTTCTTTACCAAAATTTCTGGAAACCGTCGGAATGAACCCTAAATATCATTATAAATTTTATATGTTTCTGTACAAACTGTACATTTCAGTTGATACTCTAGCTTCTCCGGCAGCCGAAGGACAATTTCCACATCAGCGAAGCCAAGTGGCTTGAGAAAGTGCCAGAAACCCCATGCATCTCCTTGCAAGAATTCTCTTGGCTTCACTTGCGGTGGCACGTTACTAAGAATGTCAGTTGCAATTAACAATTTACTTCGAAATACATTTCGAATATTACGCAGAAGCCTAGAACTCTAGCAATCTTACGTTCGCAAACACAGTGGACGTCATTTGGCAGTAACTTAACTTGAGTTCTTCCGAATCATCCGTACAGGGTTGGCGCTGACTAGGAAACGACTTTCGCGAACACTTGACTTCTGTTCTGGGACAATTCTCGGCCCGTGCAAATTATTTCTTCACGGACTAGAGTGCCATGGTAGAAACTTCTAGATCTTCAAGCATCAGGCATAAGGACTGCGTCAACATATGATCTCGATGCGGAAACCTTCAAGAAGAAAAGTCTTTGAGGAAGGCAATATGAAGAAGCACAACCACTGCAAGGTCTAGGCCAGTTTACGGATTCCGAAAAGGAGTTTGTTTCTTATGAAATCTTTGACCGAAATAGTTTCTAAGAAAAGTATGAAATTCCTAAAACCCATTCTTTAAAATCTTTAATCAGAGACAACTATTGATTTACACGAGTTCAAAATTAACTGGTCTCAGATAGTAAGATTTATCTTCATGCATGTATAATATACCGCATTTTTATCGTGAAAGTAGTGTGAAATCTGTTAATTGAAGATTATTTCTAATACAAATTAGTCATTATGGGAATACTCATGGTTTTATAAGCAATAGTTGCAAAGTATTGCTCACTATGTTTCACTCGATTAAAATATGTTTCGACGTAAGTGATGAAAATGTAACCAGTACTAAGTCGACAAGAGGCACATGTTTTCAGAACGATGCGTTTTGTAACAACGAAACATTTAGTTCATTTTTAACATAAAACTTACTTAAAATGTTGGTGAGTCGATTTCGAAATTCCATAGTTAAAAATTCTTAGAAAAGGATCAGTATTCCAATGTTATTAATAATTACTTGATAATTATTAAAATTGTAATTAAAGAATTGTTAAACATTGTTACGATACTTCTAAACAAAAAATTCTGTTCTGGAAGTTTTAAATAGACCTATAGTACTTAATAGCCTAAAAATGTGCATATGTACATTTTTCAACCTATAAAAAGTAATAATTCAAGATGATGAACTGTTAGTGGGGCCTTTAAGAAAGCAAGTAGTACCCTTTAATAACTGATGGATCTGACACAATTTTCTACTTAATTCCGGAAAGATAGTATTTAGTAGATATGAGGATAACTTCCAACTGTCCAAATAGGTTATGTGTGTTAATTGCGGAAGGAACCAGGCAATTAAATATTTTAAACAAGACTGGGACCAAGAAATTATAATTGATTAAATTATGTACCTCGTATTTCCATATGTCGCATACGTTTAATTGATTTTCTTACCACACTAAAAATACTTCTTTTCTACAGAAAGTCTTTTATATACCATTTTTTCATATTGGGTTGAATATGTTACGAAACTTTTCTATATGACATAATACGATTTTATTGCATTACACGTTATAATGTGTAACGACTTTGATTTAAAGAAAATATATTTTCATTCTTCAGATTTAGATCCGTTCAGCGCGTTGTCAAAGGACAGTAAACAAATGCAAGGAAGAGACGAAAGTTTGAGTCGACTCAATAAGATTCAATTTTTTGTCCCTTTCATTGCATCATTTTTAGAGATGTACACGATCCTCCAACCAAATGCACTGTTAGTTATTTCTTCAAGACATTTCTTGTCATCAGAATCAATTTATTTCAATTAGACGATGGTAAGCAGAGGAATGTTCGCGTTTGGTACAAAATACGTTTGGTAAAAGCAAATACCATAATAATCTGCCGTGAATCATTTTCTGGATCAATAACTACGTGCGAATATATCGTTACTTGACGTAAGTCTTTTCCAGTTTCAGTGTTTTGCTGACTTCGTATTCCCTTTTGAGGGTAGAAACGTAAACTTCCTTAATTCTTCCAACATGTTTGAGACGAAGACATTTTATTATACATAGAGTTGTTATCGTGTGATAGTAATGTTATTACTTAAATTTTAACGGGTAGCTCACAACTTGTAACTTGACGAATTCTACCTGTGCCTCACTTCCTCGGTAGAAGTACTTGTTTTGCACATATCTGGCAGCAGGTTAGAGAAATCCCTACGCGTTTGAATCACATGAAATGAAGGTGGTGACACTTTCGTATGTCTTGAACAGTATCACTCTCATTCTCCTCATGTATATACAAAGAACAGGTACAAGTACAAGGATTCTATTGTTCTAAAATTCGTTTTCTTATGTTAACAATTGGCAGACATGTCAATTAGTACGTCATTTCGTCATGTTAACGAACGTTCCTCATGCTGAAATATATTTACAGACATTTAGAATATGATTCAAAATGTATGAATATTGTATTTTTTGAGCAACTCTGAAAATTAAGCAGCAAAAACATCCCAGAATATGAGGATGCTCAAATAAATTGAATACTGCGGCATTTCTCTTACTTTTTGGGGTGTTCAGACTTTTCAATGTACCAGCAAATCAAGCGACAGATTACGAGGCGGGGGGGGGGGCACGAAAATGAATTTAATAGTGAGATGACATTTTGCACCTACGAAAGTTCGTCATTATTCCAAATTTTAAAACTTAAAAAATAATTATTTCATCATATGTTTATATATTCACTCAAGTACGTCTCTGTAACTTATCATTTTGTTTCAACTGTGTGAAACGTTGTGGAACACAATTCAACAAATGCCTATGCATATTATGTATTAGAGAACTATACCGTCTATCACGTTTCTAGTCCATCGCATATTAAATATACTCTATGTCTCACAATTTCAAATCAAGCGAAAGTGTTTCCATTTCTTTTTATCGAAAAATATTCATTTCGTACAAGTCTAGAAAAGTATGAAACTATAAATTTGAAATTTCATTTTAATAACAAATAATACAAATACGGATCGGACAAAGGAGCTTGGGAAAGGAAGAAAATTCATCATAAATGTTCTTTAATCAAAAGCCCTTCTTTGCCTGCTTATTGAAAGCTGTGGAACGGAATCCTTGTGCATGTACTTAAACGCTTTGTCCGATCAGAGATGTTAGATTCCGAAGACCTGTTTCTCAAAGGTCCCTTTCTCACGAAGGCTTTTCTTGAAGTCATGTCTCTCATCTCTTCCAGATTCCATTGCTATTTTATAACCTTTACCTAATGTGTCTGTTTCAGAAAATGTTTTGTATACATTGTATTACTAGAACTAATAAAATAGTCGACATACAGTCGTTAAACTGCAGTTTCATTTCCGTATCCTATTCTTGTTTCCTATATCCTATTTTATTACTACATAAAACAATAATTTGCTGTTCTATTGTATAATTATCTCTTCACGTCTCCATCAGAGAGTTTCAATTGAAAAAAGCATTTTCAAAAATTTGCTACTAGAAGGGCAAGCTGGTGCGGTGAGCAGTAGACTGTAGGTAGTAGGATTACTTGTCACACTACTTATCTTGACAACTCAGAGTTGAATGTTTACATTCGAAATACCATCACCTACTGTCTGGTAAAGCGAGGTGGGCGCTTTTGCATGATCTGAAATGAACTTCTGACATGCGTGTTGGAGTCATTATGGAGAAAGATTTATGAAATATGAAATTCATTGAAGTAAATCACAATTAAAATCAAGTTAGTGATTGCAACAATTACAATAATTATTAACTTGTAGGGAAAATGAGAATTGTTCTTCGTAATGACAAAAGGATATTCGATAACTGAATCAGCTGACTGACGAGTACATGACTCATTGATATTGATAAGTAATCTAAAAGAGGTTGCAACTGGCACTGGCAAAAAATTGATACTCTTTTGGGCATAAGCATGCTGAATGCATAATTGAGTTTAAGTGATCCTAACATCTGCACCATGCTGTAAGAAAGAAAGAAATAATGACAGCATTTGATACGAGACTTTGTAAAATGAGCAGCAAGTATACAAAGCAGGCTCTTGGTACTGTGGGTTCCAGAGACACTAGCAGAACCACCAGAAGGGGTGCTGGTATCACATCATGCGTCAGCTGATGCGTCGTAACACGTGGCACGCGTGGGATTTGCACTACACAGAACACCAATATTAAAGTGATGGTGCGACTAACATGAGCGAGCAGTAGGCAGATACGCATGTGTCTTGTTCAACAGCGGAGGCTCGACTGAGTAAGTTCCATTAGAAAATTGTAAATTTAGTTTAGAAAGTAGAATGTTCATTCGCGCACATTAAAAGTCATGGTGCTAATAACACATTGGAAAGGAGAATGTTGAATACACGCGCGTATTCAAGTCATGATGCGAATAACATGAGCGAGCTGCAGACAGACACGAATGTGTCGCGTAGGCAAGGGCCAGACTGAATACTTCCGTTTAGAACGGTTGTAGTGGTGGAGAAAGTTCGCGGTTGCGAGAGCTCTGAGCCAATGAGAGTTCTGGTTTTAGCTATTAGAATTTATAATTATTGTACATAAAGCTTCTTTGTAATAAAAAAGGGGTGTGAGGCTAATATTATTTAACTTTGGACTTTTAACAAGATGCAAAAATTATTGTAGTATCAAATAAATAAGTTGAATGATAATTTCGTGGAAAAATTGTTGGTTGGTTTTTTGGAATTTGTTGCGTATATATCGACTCATCGCGTCTCCTAACTACTTAAGGAGCGTTGAACGCACTGGAGTAATCCTCCATTAATAAGCGATCTCTAGGGGCCGCTGTGTAGTCAAGTCACGTAAGTCATAATCACGTCAGGGAATCGCCGGCAGGTAGCGTCTTCGCGCTCGCGTCTCGCACGCGCCCTGCGTCATCTACCCATCGGCCAGAAATGGGAAGGAATAAGGGTATGGGCAAGGTTTAGGACGCCTCACAGGGGTTGCACTAGCTCCTGTGAAGCAGGCAAACTCGCTTTTGTCGAACCAAATTTCACATGAGGTTCTACGGAGATCAGTAGTAAAAGGCAAGTGAATTCGCCTCTGAGCCGCGAGTGCACATATTGACGTGATGTTTCTAGGAATACAAGAAGCCCCGGTGTAAGCCAGATCGCAATCACTAGCATCAAACGAATTAATAGAGCAAATACATCAAATAAAAGTCGGTATATTATTATATACATGTCAGAAATGGACCTGTGTGAGAAGACTCGTGCATTGCCCGATTCGTCCAATGGTTTAAAACGATAAAACTTCTGCAGCGAACCAGCCTCATTAACGGACTATGTTAAACGTCAATCCCTAGGGTTCGGATTTATAAGCACTAAAAATACAGCAGTTTGCAGTAAAAATCAAAAATAGTGCAAACAAAATATACCCTGTGTAAGTATATAGAATGTTTCTATCACTTTTTATGCACAATACACTCATCCGGCATTTTACCCTTACGCGCAACGGATTTGAAGAGAATTGATATTAAAGAGGAGTAATAGTTTCCCCAAGGGAATGTCATCCGCTAAATATAATTAACAATCAGTATTAGAACCATATTTGAATGCAACTCCTAACCGCCACCTTTGTTCCACAAAAAGAAAAATGTCATTCTTTTTCTCTCAAAATTGTTCGGAAAGCTCCTTCTTTTACTTCTGGGAGTTTAAGTCACGGTCAAAGCGACTTTTACGCTATCCTAGGACTAAGTTAAATTTAAAAAATTGAACTATTTTTTAGAGAAGTTTGAAAATGGTTTGTGAGGCTTCAAGTAAAGTGCTCCCCGAAAATAAAACATCGATTTTAAATTCAGTGGGTCGGGACATCAGTCAGGTCGATTTGGAAATATCAACATTGTCCTCGGAGAGCGAAGAAAATGCTTAAAAAATGGTGCTGATCTCACTGTCGTTAAAATTTCAGATTTTTTGAAAATTGCGAATGTTCAACCTCTTTGAATGCAATGTTTCCTTTAAGTATTTTGAAGTAACGTTAAACTCACTTTTTTCAACATATGAATAGTGTTTAAGTAATTTTGTGTGAAATCAAAACAATTTCCAAACAATTTTTAGTCTCAAAAATGGCTCCATGTTTTTTCTATAAATTGCTTCCTCGTATGTATCAAAATATTGTAAAATATGTTTTTTATTTTAAAAGAAATCTGTTCCGAAAAGTGAGATCATTAAAAAAGACCCTGAACAATTTGAACAACATGAAACGAGTCGTTTTCATGTAATTTCTGCTTGAAGTTAAAAAAAGCAGTTTCTCAAAAAGTGCTTTAAAATTTTTCTTCAATTTTTTCCACTGATTTTTTCCAACAAATGCTTAAAAGAAATGTTTAGGTCTCATTTTCTGTGAATTCTCTAAATTTTCAAAAATCGCAAAAGTAATAAATAATGCGAGTTGCTATGATGTCTTGTGTAGAAAAACAATTTTTCTTGTTGCACCGTCAGCTGAATCATTGTTGTTTAATTTTCATTTGAATGATTTTCTTGTGAAAACAACTTTTTTACTGATAGAAGATATCAGATATTTAGTAAATTACTTCAGCTAACACTTGTGTAGTCAGAATCTGTGTTTTGAATCTCCTTGATTCTATTACAGATTGACTGAAATATATTGTGCAATCAATCGAGTTTTCGGTATCAAGGATTCACGACTGAATTCTGAATATCGAATGTGTTAAAGGAAGTTATTTACTGTATACACATTAAATTTATACACTCGTTCGTTACCAAGGCCCGGTGTTATGAGCTTTTCTATCGAATATTCGCTTTTTTTCGGAGACACGATTACAATATTTCCTCTTCACACGAAGTAAGACGAAAATGTAAAAGTACACAACATCATTTAAATATCTACATTGAACAAAAGTTATGCAGAAAATATCCAAGTCACAACAATCAATATGTTTGAGAAATGGCTTGGAGAGTTGGAACGTATCTCAAAATTTCGAGCTGCAACGATGCATACCAGAAGTAGGGTGTTTGCGGACGCATATATATGCTATTCCTACAAGAAATGTAATGAAAAAATTGGTACGCTTTTTGAGAAAATGTTTTAAATGTCCCAGGCACACTAAGTACACACAAAATTTAAAGAATCGTCTCCTGCATTATTTCAGTAGTAGTCGAGTATAAGCCTTTTGCGGCTCTCACCCACAACCGATCTTTATAAATGAGGTCAAAAAAAGCTAATTTAACGTAGATGAGATGAATTGCACTTTTACTTCAAAAATATGAATGGTTTGTTTTAATAAATCATTTAAATATTCATGTCAAATGCAAACCGAAGTATTCAGCCAGCTATATCGTTAAATAACTCCTACACGAAACGTTCTGTGGTATTACAAACAAAACTTTTGAGGCCAGAGGCACCAAAGAAACGTTTATCTCACCATATTCTATAGGATGAGATATTCTTGGACATTCTATTAATTTTTTGCTGGTTCGGCACCTGCCACCTACATTCCGTGCCAACACTATCACCCTTGGTGATAGTGACCATCTCCGTGACGTCACGCTCAGAAGCCTTGGATTCCTCTATCTTATTCTCTTGATGCTTTCTGTGTACACCGTGGTTTGCGCAGGCTGACGAGGTTTATTTGCATAATTTATTAATACAAGATTCGCTCTCGCAGCAACAACTAGAAGTACTATTAATAGCTACTTGATACCGATGAATATTGTTTCATATGCGTGTAGTAAAAACTTTCATTTAACATTTATCCGAAGTCTACAGTGACGTGTTCCTAGTTCTCTGGAGAGATGTGGGTATACAGAGAGTGAAGACGCGTCTTCCTAAGTTTGGTTTGTATTTTACCTGCACCAGTATTTTCGTTGTCAACAGTGGTTCGGCTAAACTTTCAAGTCAGCGTCTTCAGCCATACAGCTTTCTCAAGAGTGAAAAGCTTTTTTTAATATTTTTATAACTACCACGAAAACCGAAAAGCTAAATATCAAAGCATATTGCATAATTACTTTAAATATTTTCAAGAGAATGTTATGAATTGTTACAAAAAATCTCTCGATAATACTGAATAATGTTTTTAGTAAACATTACTTTTTCACATCAATTTCATTTTTTAAAATTTGAGATTGTGTCAGTACAATGAAAGTTACCTTTATACATTTTTAAACAAATAAATACGTTTTATTAGCAACTTTCCCTCTTAAAATCTAAATTGAAGGATAGGGAAGAGTGTAGGGTTTAACATGCAAGAGTTCTCGCATGGATACACGGAGGTAGTAGGGGAAAACTTGAGCTGTGGCACAACACAAAAAACAAACTTTTAAAAGGAGCAAAAGTAAAATAGCTTGAAATAAATGAACA